GGTCTTACAAATTTGGCATTGAAGGAGGCAGACCTGTCACTTGGCTGCTTCCCAAGATGACTTTGTGAAATAGAGCCCCACCCCTCCCCTTAAATTCTACTGTTTTCGGGACATAGACCTCTTTGGGGGTTTTGTCATAGGCACTAGTCTAATTAATATAAAAGTTAAAATGTGAACTATCTTAAATTAAAACAAATTTGTACTTTACTATAAAAGATATAGCAAGGAATTAGAAGGAATTTTTTTTTGCAGAAAACACTGCTCATTTGTAACCATGAAAAGCTGTTATTTGCTCTTACCTCTTTTGGAAGGTCTGTTTCCAGGTGTAGATGACTTTGTTAAGTTCACAGACTCTATAAAGTAAGAGGAAGAAAAGAGGTATTTGTTAGCTACTGTCTTACATAATGTATGATAACTCACACAGCACATAGGGTTTGTGATCATCTCAATTTTGAAATGAGCATTTTCCTCTTTCCTTGAGCTGAACCCAGTTCTGGTGCCCACAGTCCTAATCCTGGGTTCCTGCCAGGCTCTCCCCTTTACTTCTATATGTGAATTTGTAAATGACCTTCAAACATTACCTCCAGTTTCCTCATCTGTAATACTGAAATAACCTGGTTACCTCATCTCCCTGTGAAGGTATTTGTGAAAACAAAATGAACCTGTATTCACAATAGCACTGTGAAAAATCAAAATGTAAGCCAATAGTTTAAGTATCATTTGGGCTTGAGAGGTACTTGGTCTGAGCCACTTTTTCCATCAGTAACTAAATATCAGCACCAATAATTCTATTAAGAAATCTCAAGTTTTGTACTAATAAGAATATAGCTAAGTAATTATGAAATACTATGCTCACTACTCTCTGTAGAATATAAAACATGTTGGTAGAAATGAAGTATATTTTTCAACTCTTTAGCAGTAATTGATATGACAGTGTGTCATCAGTGTGTAGTAAAAAAGACTGTCATTTGCCCAGTGTAGTTAGTGTGTTATTGCTATGTTGTCATAATATCAATTGATTGGGCTTATCCAGTTGAACAACAGTTCATAATGCCCCTTTTCCCTCTTTCATATTCCAATAGGGCCAAAGACATTAAATGCTCAAAGTGATGCTCTAGAAGTCATTGAATCAATGCATATGGACAATGTCAGGATAAGGTTTGTTGGGAAAACAGAGCTCTGTGTTTAGACTCTGAATTTTGATGTCCAGAAATACATCTTCTCTGGTGCATTTTAGAGTCATGAACAGGTGAGTTCTTGGTCTTTCCTCCTTTGCTCAATTCTAAGGAGTCCAGGTTATTGATCTCTGCACAGAGGAATAGGATTTGCTAGGTGTCTCAGTGTGTCAAAGGAACTGATTCAGCAGGAAATTCCCTAATAAACATGGAAATATCTTGAAAACCCATTTATATCATGGTCTGCATAGGCCACCTGGACTGCTCTCCTAGGTCACCTGCCTTGCAGGTTACTGATGCTCCTTTCCCCGTCCCCAGAGCAGAAACAATTCATTGCTTTGTTTGAACCTGACCTTCCTACACTTCTCTCTCTTCCTCCTCCTACCCCTTCTATTGTCATTCCACAACATATTCATTGGCTGTTTCTCTGTGAGGAGAACTTGGATATCTTGTGTTGAAGGTAGAGAGCCTCCTATACATCGTGGTGCTTCTTGAATCATTTACAAGGCTGAGAAATAATCTTCTCTTGTGTCTGAGCCATAGACCTATGTTGGGGCCACCTTTCAGTGCAGTATGCTACACTGAGACGTGAGTCAGAAAGTACACTCCCTAAAAACTGAAGCAAACTTACATTATACATTGATGGATATAGTGAGATATGAGAACAAAACTATTACTTGTGATATTGTTCTGTCGTAACGTCAAGAGCAGGTAACATTTTTATTCGCTTTTAAAATCTTGACTTAGTAAACATGTTTGCAATAGACAGGTTTGCAATATCCTCTGAGGAAGTAGAAAGGGAAAACCAATCACCAATTTGTGTGCTGAAGAGCTATAAATCTTACAATTACTCATGTTGCACACAGGATTGAGGAAACCATATTTTTGTAACTGTTTTGAGCTCCAGTTTTGTAAAGGAAACAACACAGCATCCAGCATACTAGTCTTGTCTTTCCCTTTTTCTCCATGAGACTTTATGGAAGACCTTGGAACATTTATGTGTTTGTGTTTGCTCATCTAGAAACAAAATTAACACTGTCCATCCTGCTTACCCCTCAGGGTTGCTGTAAAGGAAAAAGTAATGCACTATTTGCAAAGGTCCTTTGAAAAGTCACTGTATGTTCCTAACTTGCTGAAGAACTCTATCAAAAACAATACTTTGGGTTTCAAAATTACTTACCTGTTTCCTCTCACACTAGATAACTGAGGGAATTGGCCCTTGACACTATTCAAAGCTTGTGACCTGATGACAATATGACCTTCCAGGAAAGAAACACTTAACTTTCTTTTCTCTATAGAAACCACTGTAAAAATCCAACCAGCACTTTATAGTCATAGACTCAGTTTTCAAACACATTCATTACTTTGCTGGCTTATTTCTACTATGCAATCAATACATAGATGCATAGGTTGATTAATAGGACCCATAAATTAATAGGCCCCATTTTCAAAAAATGTAACATAATGAATTCTTATTATCTTGTATATCCCCCAAAGGTTAAGTAAAATAGTGAAATGAATGCAGAGAATGAGATTCCAAGATAAACTGGATCCATAGTGCAGCATGAGCTAGAACAGATGCCCCAGGAAAGAGTTGCTCTTAATTCAGGTCCTGCAGCCCAAGCCTTGAGCTCCCACCTCCTCACCTGGTTTTCTTTTCAGTGCTGAGGTGGAAGCTTTGGGAGGCTCTTTTCTGTTTCCGCATTCTGCAGAGTCAGCACTGCTGGTCACTGCACAGAGAACAAAAACCCCTTAGACTTTCAGGGAGGTGCCAAGGAACCCACTGATAGGAAACATCATGACAGGAGCACAAGGAAGACCTAGAAGCTAAGTCAACTCAGGTCCCCCTGGTTTGTGCCTCAACGTGTGTGGCCTGCAGGTTGTTCCAGGTCTTACACAGAAGGTGGTGACATTCAGGCACAGAGGACAGCTGTGCCCATTCTGCAGCAATGCTTACCCCATAGTCACCCTGTCTCCTACTTCCATCCTCACTCTACATCCGATCCCCACCCTCATTCTACCTCTTCCCTTTGCTCTCTAATACTTCCACCCCCATTCTATCCCTTTCTTTCATTCTTATCTTAATTCTTCACTTTCCTCTTGGTTTAGCCTGTTTTTGCTATTTTTGTTTCTGGTGATGGTATCTCTTTACACATTCTCTTCTCTTCCTGTGTTTGTTTTAATCTCCTTTCATGAACATCTTGGTTCTCTGAATTATTGAGTTGAACATAGAAAACAGTCTCTGACCTCAACACTTAAATTTCCCTTTTCTGTTTTTTACATTTTTCCAATCACAGGGGACATTTTCTGTTGAACTCACTGCATAAGGTACTGATCCTCTCACTTCCCTATGTCTATCTAACTCAGGCCACCAGGACAGCCTCCATAGGCCATATGATGTGTCCCAGACCCCTACCTGCTACCATGATTCATATCACACCTTATTTCAATCTTGCCTGTTATATCACATGCCAGGTTACAGTCAGTCTTTGCTTGGGCTTCCCATTCATCTCCTGAATTAAAACATGATTTTTCCTTCATTATATCCACAAGATCTACAGAGCAAGAATCGATCAGTTTCTTTGGTGTGGTAGCTCTGCTCCTGAACATAATTAGAACTGATGAACAATTTTGTTTGTCTCCCCAAAAGGAATGAGCACCCTCACTACAATTAAGACCTTCTCCCTGTAATTCTACTGGGTTTTATTTTTTGTTACTTTTGTTTCTACTTTTCAAAGTAGCAGCCTATTTTTATCTGAGAGGGTCCAAGGGCCACTCTGGTCACTGTGGACACCTCACCTTCTCAGTGGTGAGAGGAGCAGCCCACTGTGCCTTCTTCGTGGTGACTGTGTCCTCCTATCAGATAATGCTTGGTCCTCTCTCTGCCAGTTCTCCATTCATTGTCCTTTACTCACTTCAACACAGTTTTCTTTGTGTCTCACTCCCCATTTTTTATTTATTGATACTCATTTCCTTCTGTATCTTTGTCTCCTTCTACTATTTCTTTACATTTTTATCATTGCCTACCAGGCCCAACAGGTTCTTGAGTAAAGCAAAGAAGGTGCCCAAGACACAAGAGGTCCTCAGGGTGAGCTCCTCCTTACTTGTGTCCCAGGGTCTTCTTGCTTCACCCTAGATCTGGCCCTGCTACCCAACCTGATTTTTTTGTTTATCCATTCTCAGTTATGTTTCCTACTTTCTCCTATTTTCTTTCTGTCTCTTCATTATTTTGTGACTCATAAAGCCCTTGTCTATGTCAACTTTGTCTTTCTTTGTCATTTCTTCCTGTCTAGCATTCCAGTCATCACTGCAGTCTCCTTGTGCCTTTACCCACAATGTAGGGTCCCTCCACCTGCCAGTTTCCTTCCACACTCATTATACTCAGCCACTCAATCTTACCTATTGGCTCAAACTCTTGGGAAAATTGTTCAATTGCTAGTTGGGTTTCTAATGCATTGTTGTCACTGACTGTACTTGTATCTGTGCATTCATGTCTTCTGTTCCAGAGAAGCACTCTGAGAGTCTATTATCAGGTGGAGCTGTACTAAGACCATGTATGATTCATAGGTATTTTCCTTGCTTTCTTTATCACTCAGAGTCCAACCAGAAAATAGAAACTTCTCTAAGCTTTTAGAGCAGAAGGAATTTAATCCAGATGATCAGGTATACAGCCAATGGAAGAGCTGAGATTCCAACCCAAAAATAATGTATAGGAAGCACTGGGAAGGATCAAGGGTGAGATCATGTGCCAAGTCTGCCTGGGAGCTAGAAAGGTGATCATGTTTGCCTGCCTGGTGGAAGGCAGAGTCATCAGAGTTGCTGCTGCTGCCAGAATTGTTGTCCAAGACAGTGAATGGGAAAAACCAAGCTTCTCCCTTGGTCCCACTCTCCAATCTCTTGCTAGTGTGACCTAGGTTAGGAACCCAGGAGGAAGCAGAAGCAAGTGAGCTGTCAAGCAAGTCTGCATGGGTCTGTGGCCAGAGACAAAGGGCATGTTGAAAGAAGAAACAATAAGGTCCTGGATAAACTACCCAGGACCAGCACACCCTCTTCCCCACACTGAACCTCCCTCACTCATTACTGAATCCACTGACCCATCCACTCTGTTCCCAGCAACCTCAATACTGTATGGATGGAAAATATTTTATCAGTGCAACTTCAATTATTTTATGTACTGCTCTTTTCATAAACAAAGTACTTTATGTAAAGATGATTTAAAATTTAATTCCCACAACGTTAACATAGGACATGGGCCCTGGTACATGTTTTATGTTACATCCATGTTTCTTGGAGCCTCCTCTTATGGTGGGGGGCATCAGACACAGTGTTATCCTCACCTATGCATGTCACAGCCAACCCATCCTGCTATGTCAGACTCTTGGGTGTATTTACTGGTGGTTTGTTGCACATTATTTGGGTCATAATGTCATGCTTCTACCCAACACCCCACCTGCACATTAAATTTCTTCTCTGCTCATTACTAGTCACAATTCCTTCCTCTCAACCCTTCCTGTTCCTACCAGCTGCACTGGTAGATGAACTGCTAAGAATACACTTTGATGAATGTTGGATGCATGTTAAATGTTAACTCTTTTCTTAATGTAATTTTCTAGAAGTATCATAGTGGCTTTTAAAAATTGCTCTGTGTTTTTATTTTATGAAAAATGCTAATTCATACTATATTTTATTAAATAACACATCCCACACAAGCTACAGAATTATACCTTCCATGATGCAGGAAGTTCCCTGAGTCTCCTCCTTGTCACTTATTTCCAAAGAAAAGTCAGGGAATAAAGACATAAATTCATTATACACTATTGTGATATAAGGATGGGGAACCTGTGGTCCTCAATTTAATGCCTTGGGCCTGAGGTCCGTATTGCTTTGATTACTACTCCACAGCCTGAGGGATAAATAAATCCACCATGGACATATGTGAGAAAGGAAAACCTCACAGTTTATTGTGGTAGATAGCAGTTTAGACTCTGGACCAATACTAATAATAATGATCATAAACATAGTAATATTAAAAAATCCTTAGAACACTGATGGAGACTCATGCATGAGAATGTCTTCTTTACATGATACAACTTGTCACCCTGTGAGGGAGGTACTATTATCACCTCCATTTTATAGATGATGAAACTGAGGGACAAAGAGGGGAAGTCACTTCCCAAGGTCTCAGGGCAGAATTGGAGCCAGCTGTGGGTCACCAGACCTCCTGCTCTGACACTGCCCTATGGCAGAGTTTAATCCCTAGTCTCAGTGCCTGAACTCCCACAAATAGCCCAAGTCTCCAAGCAGATTCTTTGTCTTCTGAAAAACACAGATGACATACCATCATTGTAACTGTTTGACATAAAATATTGCCTGTGTTACTATTCGTGATATGGTGACTGACAAAAAATTAACTTTTCAGGATTCATGTCTTTAATTAATCTTATTTTAAATATTTTAACAACTTTAGTAAGTGTGTTATAGACTAAGGAAATGTTAAGAGTTGTAAACAGTGGTTATTGGTTGTTAAAGTTTCAAGTGTTTGTTCAGAGGCCCCTCTGGTATTTCTGACCAGCGTCTGGCCCCACTGTGCTGGGGATGATGGGAGAGGGTTTGCACGGGAGGCACATGGGGCTGTGTAAAGGATTCAACAGGTGAGGGACTCTCCCCCAGGGAACACAGTCATCATTGCTCAGCTGTCTCCTGCAGGACAGGCCACCACAGGATGGAATATCATCAGCTGAGGCCACAGCCTATTTCAAGCAAGACAGATGCTGAGGCCATGAAGCCAGACACATGGACAATAAGTCCCAGAGCTGTCAACAGTTGGCCACAAGCACATGTGAGAAGGAGAGGACCAATCCTCCCAGGCAACTCAGTGTATGAAGACTCTGTTATCTAAATCTTTGGAGACATTGCACATGACAAGATGGACAATTCTGGGCACTCCATACTAAAAAGAAGCAGCCCTCCCACCACAGCCTATTGCAGAAAGGGACAAGAACAGCAAAGGATCACAGAATAGCCAGAAGGAACAGACCGTTGTAATTGGACTGGTCCGGGAAGAGCCAGGACAGGGATGCATATGGATTTTCACCAGCTCCTGAAGGAAGAGATTAGAAATTTATTTCAGAAATTGAACTGTGGGCTCTGCAATTCTCTTCCAGTCCTATGTTAATCTTTACAATGTAGTGCTTGACAACCCCTTTTCCCAGGAATCAAAGCAGACCTGCATCCCTGGCCTCAGTCAGGCCATCTCACTATGACATTCGTGAGCTTCTAGGTAATTAGTAATGGCTTGTCTTTTCAGCCATAGCCATAGGGAACCTGTTTTAGTCCCCAGAGATACCCCAGACTGGTGGTCTTACTGGACCCCCCAGCCTGGTTCACACAGACCCTCCCTCTGCAGGTCTGTTCATTCTGCCTTGTGGGCCTTTTCATCAGAGTTCAGCAACTGATTTTTCTTCACTTCCTCTACCTCTTGGTATTCTTCTTTTTGTATCTTCCTTTCTGCATATATTTCTCTATTTTTGTCTCATGTGTCTGTCCTTTCCATGAGTTTATCTGGGAGTGTATGGGGTAGAACATGGGCTGTGGGTTCAGAAGGCCTGGGTTCGTCCTGCTCATTTGACCCCAAGCCAACTGTGTATATGGTCTCTCTGGATTTCAGTCTCTTTTTCTGCAAATGGGCACATGGTGATACTTCCACCCAAGGGCAGCAGTGAGCACTAAGCACACTTCTCCTTTCTTCTTAGCAGAAGAGAATAGGTTTTTATCTATTTGTAATCACCTTGTTCAATGCTCAGTTGAGTATTACGGTTCTCTGCACTCTCATCTCCAGTACTTGCTTCATGAAAAATTTCCTTTAGGATCACTGAAGAGAGAGAGAAAAGAAGTTAGAGATCTCCATCAGAGTGCAGGGACATCAAGTGTGCATGTTTAGAAATTTTCAGCCTTCTGGTCACTCAGAGCTCAGTGAATCCCAATCCTCATGGTCAAGTTCCACACCATCCCTGGTACCGAAAAGAAAACCCCAACAAGGGCATGCTTATGTTACCCACACAGAAAGGAGTCACTCGAATGTCAGGATAAAGGAGTCATGCAAAACACTGTGAGTTTGCTATTCACATAAAAAAAATTACAGATGCCTGGAAAAGCATGTGTCAAATAAAAAGTGGAAGTGAGGTGTGTTTTCTGACCTCTCCAAACTGTAAGAAGAAAACAAGAATTTCCTCGGGAGAAGGACAAAGATTTTAAGTGCCTGCATGTATAAAAGTGAAAGCACAGAAGCTTGAAATAAATAAGTGGTCAAGAGAAGGGTGGAGTTTACTGGGTCAGGAGGATGATTACCTCCCAAAGAGACAGCAGAGGACACAGAAAGAACTAGAAAGACCTCCAGGGACCTAGATCCCAGGAGACTCTCTGAAGCTGCCAGGAGGGAGAGGATATTGTGGCCCTGGAAGACATCTCAAGAGGTCTGTACCAGTGCCTGGGAGGCTGCCAAAAAGGTGAGACCAGTGCACCAGCCAAGTGCTTTTCCAGGAGCATCTGCACTACTCAGTGCACATAATTCTTTTTCCTGTGAATTCTCCATTGTTATTTGGAGATCTTGGTGGATGCTAAACTGTGTTGAAATAAAAATTTTTGGCAGGTCAAAACAAAAATTATAGGAAGAAGAAATTATAATGAGTGACAATCATGCTAAAATTATTGCCCAAACAGTTTGAACAGCAAATTCAGACTACAGTTAAAATTTGTACATTATGATTCTCAGGAAAAAGTGTTGAATCAATCATTTTTGTGTAGTACTAAACACAGTTTCTGGCAGAGAAATTGATTTTGAGATTATTTGATTAATGTTTGTCTCACCCCTGGTGGAGAAAGAGCTAATTCAGCCATCATCTTTGTTTAAGGACCAATTTGACCTGGGTTAATTTTCTTGCTCATTACTCTGGGTACCTGATGAAGGTGGTCTCTCTTTTTGGTATTACGAGGTCAACACTGGGTTTAGGGTGAAAAATGACCCATAACTGGACTCAGAAGGACTCCATGTCAACTATGAGCTTCTCATGTAGTGACTCTTGTAACTCAGATGTCCCTCATGAGGTCCCTGAAAGCAATGACTACAGAGTTGTTACATGAGACATTGACTCCCCTGGTCTTGGTGCTGCTAAGCCAGGTGGATCCTGCACCCACTGCTGAGCTGTCAGCTGAGGCAGATAGTAGGGTACTTGATGGTCTGCTATTTGGACACATGAAAAAAGAGCAGCAACTGATGGTGCCTTACTCAGATGCAGTCGTTCTTGTCATTTGTTCTTGGAAGTAAATCTGACGTGACTGTGACTCTAATTGTTGTGTGAGTTTCAATGCTTAGTTAGGCAGACCTCCAGGTGTATTTTATACTGTAGTCACTATAGCAAAAACTTCTAGAAGACTCATGATGTCTGTATTCTTAATTGCTATGTCACCTCGGACCAGCATCATGTGTGACACATGCTCAAAATATATTTGTCAAAAAAATTTGCCACAGACATTGAAAGGTAGGCTATAAACCTCATTACCATCTCTGAAGCCTTCACAAATGCCATTTAAATCAGGGTAGTTCTTCATCAGGAACTCGCTGAACAAGATTTCCAGAAGTGGCAGGTGACATCTCTCCTCCATGTTATCGAGGACTGCATACACCACTTTTGGTACAGTTGACGGGTTTTCACAAGATTTTTTAGACTCCTTAAAATGTAGTGAACAGGGAAATATGAATACAGAATTTTAAGTTACAGAAGAGCTCTATAAAGTGATTTCATTTTAATGTATTACAATTCTCCTACATAGGTATCTTCTTCATGCCTGCTTCTCCTTTTCACCTTATAGGAACACTTAGAGCAGTACTTGAGAAAGCCCCCACTTACAGGAGACCCCTCACTTGTCTAGTTGTGCCCTGACATTTGATTCCAAACTACCAAAACAACTAATGTGGGGCTGGTTTACCATATTGTGACAAAATAAACTTCACTTACTTTATACATTTCATTGGTTATGAGTCCACGGTCACGAAGGGTCTCGAGGAAAGGAAATGATGTTTTTATTGCATCTGAAATCTCAACCTTACGTTCTTTGAAGCGTTTGACTGCAATCTCACACATAAGTTTGTAGTCTTCTGGGGACATCCTAGGGAGAAAGGACACCATGATAAAATGGTCATCAAGCCTTTGAAGTGCTTGTGCAGGGTGAAATGTTTTATATATGAAGGACAGAATGTGAAGAATCACATGAATTAAATAAGAAGTTGTGTGTAGAGACCAGAATAAGTGGAATTGGTGCAATCAACAAAGATATAATAGAAGAAGCATGGAGGATCAGAAAGACATGCGTATTATCAAAAATGTACAGACTGTCTCAATTGAAGTCATTGTACACATGTCTTCTCCTGAACATATTTGGAATATTTTTTATTAAAACCTTCTATTCAACATAATATTGGCAGTTCTAGCCACAACAATGAGACAAGACAAAGAAATAAATGTCATTATAATTTGGAAAGGAAGAAGTAAAACTCTAGTTCTTGCAGATGACATGATATTACAATAGAAAACCCTAAAACCTCTACCCAAAACTATTAGAACTAATAAATGATATTAGGAAAGTTGCAGAATACAGAATCAATATACAAAAATCTATCATGTTTCTACACATCAATAAGAAATGATCATAAGAAGAAATTAAGAAAACAATCCCATTTACAATCGCATCAAAACATCTAAAATAACTAAGGATAAGTTTAACCAAAGAGGTGAAATACTGTTACTCTGAACAGAATAAAACACTGTGAAAAGAAATTGAAGAAGTTACATATTAATGGAAAATATAGTGTGCCATATTCATGATTTGGAAGGATTAATATTGTTAAAATGTCCTTACTGCCTCAAGTAATATATATATTCAGTGCAATGCCTATTGAAATACATTCTTCTAGGAATTAGAATTCATCTTAATTTTTTTTATGGAACCACAAAAGACCCCAAGTATCCAAAAAACTCTGAAGAAACAAAGTGAGAAGTATCACACTCCCTGACATAAAACTACACTATACAACTGTAACAATCAAAACAGTATAGTATTCGCAAAAAAAAACTGATATATAGATCAATGGACTACAATAGATAGCCCAGAAATAAATCCTCACATATACGGCTAATTAATTTAAGACAAAGTTATACAATGGGGTAAAGACAGTCTCTTCAATAAATGGTGTTGGCAAAACTGAACAGTTACATGTATAAAAATTGAAATTTGACCACTTTCTTATACCACAGACAAAAATAAACTCAGAATAAATTAAAGACTTAACTGTTAGACTTGAAACCTTAAAATTTTTGGAAGAAAACATATGCAGTAAGCCCTTTGACATCACTCTTAGAAATATCTTTTTGGATATATCTTTTTGAGGAAAATAAAAAAATAAAAAATAAATAAATGGGATTACAGTACACTAAAAAGGTTTTGCACAGCAAGGGAAATCATTACCAAAATGAAAAGATAAGCTACTAATATTTGCAAATTTTCATGCATTTTATAGATGATTAACATTTAAAATATAAAAACAACTCATACAAGTTAACACAAAAGAAACAAAAATTCAATAGAAAAATGGACAGAGGACCTGAACAGACACTTCTCCAAAGAGGACATGCAAATGGCCAACAGATATATGAAAAGAGGCTCAACATCACTAGCTACCAGGGAGATGTACATTCAAAGCACAATGAGATATTACCTCACACTCCTTAGAATGGCTATCATCAATAAATCAACAGATAATAAGCACCTGCAGGATGCAGCGAAAAGGGAACTCTTGTACTTTGTTTGTGGAACTGTAAATAGGTGCAGTGACTATGAAAAACAGTATGGAGACTCCTCCTCACACAAGTAAAAGTAGATCTGCCATATGATCTGGCAATTCCACTTCTGGACATTTATCTGAAGAAAACAACACTAATTCATAAAGATACGTGTGCTCTTATGTTCATTGCAGCATTACTAGTAACAGCTGAGATATGCACACAATCTAGACACCTATCAATAGAGAAATGGATAAAGATGTTTTATAAACACACACATATATGATAGAATATTATTCAGCAATAAAAAAGTATGAAATTTTGCCATTTGGGAAAACATGGATGGATCTGGAGAGTATTATACTAAGTGAATTAAGTCAAATAGGGAAAAACAAATACTGTATGATATCATTTATATGTGGAATAAAGAACCTCACAAAATAAATGAATAAACAAAGCAAAACAAAGCAGAAACAGACCCATACATCCAGACAATAACCTAATGTTTGTCAAAGGAGAGGAGGTGGGGAGATGGGAATTTAAACAAGAAAAAATTACATTTGTAGAAAAGTGACAAAGATGATTCAGAACAAGAGAAGTTATGAAGGAGCAAGAGGGCATTACACATGAAACAGGGGTCTGTTTTCCAAGAAGATTTAACAACCCTTAACTTGCATTTACCTAAACACACACCATCAGATTATAGAAGGTAACAAAGAACTACGGAACTATGAAAAGAACAATGGAAAGAACTACAAGTAGAAATAAGTAAGTCTACTATTAGAGTTTGATGCCTTCAGACCCTCTTTTAGTAATTTATAGATCTAGCAAGCAAAGATTTAATAAAAATGCATTTGATCTGAGCAACACCGTTAATGAAATTAGTCTGTCTGGCATTTATAGAATAGTCCGACTCATAACACTGTGTACACACAGACCACATGATTACAGGGAAACTAACCTACATAAAGACAGACCACATTTGGGGCCATAAAGCACACCTTAAAAAGTACAGAAGAATAGAAATCATAGAATATGCACTCAGACAAGAAAGAAATTAAATCAGAAATTAATTACACAAAAATAGATAGAAACTCCTCAACTATTTGGAGATCAAAAATGTACTTCTAAATAAGATATGGGCAAAAAATAAGTCTCAAGAGAAATTTTTAAATCATTTAAATCAAATGCAATTGAATATATGATTTATCAAAAGTTAGTGATGCAGAAATAGCAGTAATTAGTGGGAAACAGATTCTGTTAAATAGATATGTTACAAAAGAATAAAGATCTAAAATTTAAAAATCTGTTTCCCACTTAGGAAACCAGTAACAGAAGCATACAAAGAGAGCAATTTAAACCTAAAATGGAAGAAAGAGGATAAAATAAAAATTTAATAAGATAGGAATCAGTGAAAGTGGAAATAGAAAAAATAGGAAGAACCACAACACCTAAATCCAGTTCTTGGTAAAGATTAATCAAATTGATAAACTTTAACACAGGCTAATAAGAAAAACAGATAAAAGACACAAAATACCAATGTTAGAAGTGTAAACAGGATCATCACCAACTGATCCCAAGGACAATGAAAGCACTTTCAAAACCTACTGTGACAAATCTCTGAGTACCATTTTGGTAATTTCAATAAAATGGGCCAAGTCCCTGAAAGATACAAACTACCAAAACTCACACAAGGACAAGTAGATCATTTGAGTAGGACTGCATCTGTTTTTTCTTTTTAAGTGAAGGAGTAATTAACACTGAAAAAAAGTAAGTATCAGGCTCAGGTAATTTCACTGGTGAATTCTGCTAAGCACTGAACTAAGAACGATATAGTTCTCCAAAGCCTTGTCCAGAAAATAGAAGCAGAGGGAGAAGTTTTAACTCATCCCATGAGTCCAGCATACTGCAACACCAAAAGCAGAGAAAGACGAACTACAGATTCATAACTCTCATGAAGAGCAATACAAAAATCATCACCAAAACATTAACAAATTGCATATAACAATGTATAAAAATTATCCCCATGACCAACTGGAATTTACCCCAGATATGCAAGGCTGGTTCAATGTTCCAAATCACTCAGTGTAATCCACCATATCAAGAGGCTAAAGACGAAAATGGAGTGATCATGTCAGCTGATGCAGAAAGTTCATTTGACAAAGTTTACTTCCATTCATGTAAAATCCCCTAGCAACCTGGATACAAAAAGGAACTTCCTCAACTGGAGAAGGAAAATCCACAAGAAGCCTGTAGCTGACATCAGACTTACTGCTGAGAACCTGCACCCTTTCCCCCTAAAATCAGGAAAAGGAAAGATGTTCCCCTTTACAAGTCCTGGTCAATACTGTACTGGAATGCATACTGGAAAATGAAAAGGAAATTAAAACTATAGAGTGTGGAAGAAATAAAACTGTCTTTGTAGGTGACATAACTTTCTATGCAGAAAATCCTAAAGAATTCTCCAAAACATAATCTGTAACTAAGAAATAAGTATAGCAAGGACACTGGGTACAAAATAATGTAAAAATGATAATGGCTTTTATACATGCCAGCATTGAAATATTAAAATTCAAGATTAAATAAAACAATACCATTAACAATAGTTCCAATAATGCAAAACCTAAGTTGGTATTCAACTAAATGTGTAAAGAACCTGTATTCAAAACATTATTCTAGAAAGAGAAGATTTTTATTTTGCAAAATAATAACTTTATCAATGTAAGGCTGCAAAGTATATTAACAACTTAAAGTTCAGAGCTGAGTGGTAAAGGGAAATTAGTTAAATGACTTGTTTTTATATTTCACAATAATTTTTCATTGAATTTTTTCATTACCTCTTATCCCCCTTACAACCTGCTGCCCTAGTTCCCCACACTGCTGTCCATGAGTCCTTTTTCCTTTTTGCTTGATACGTTTTTTTTTTAAATTTCAAAGACTTGAACAATAAGGTTTCAAATTCAAAACTACAAAAATATAGATTAAAAATAAATTAAAAATTGAAAATAACCTGGGTTGATTAAAATTAAGCTTTTTAATGTCACTTAAGACAGGAAGAAGTAAAATAAAAAGAAAACATAGCTTGCATTTTTAGACAAAAAAGGAACAAGGAAAGCAATAAGGAGTTTAAAAGTTAAAACAGGAAAAAGTACAAAAATTATAGTGTGCAAAATCCTTGATGTAGATAAAACAATGGTGATATTGAACAGCAAAGGACCAAAAATAGAATCCAGCAAGAGACCCAAGAAAGACAAAATGCCATAAAAGTTGTTAAAATGACAGAGAGAAAAGTTATGGTATGTAAACATGAACAACAACAGCACCAACAAAACGATGCTCATATTGATGGGACAGAAAAATTTAAAACACAAATAAAGGAACAAATGTTTTATAAATATTAAAAAACTTTTACTTCTAGGTTTTGACTTTTTGCACAGGCAAAAATTATGGTACAGGATATGGAGATATTTGTTAGAAAGACACATTACTTAACCATGCATGCTGAAAAGAGGGAACTACAATTTATTTTCAATATTTTAAAATATGTATTTATTGATTTATTTATTTATTTTTAGAGAGGGAAGAAATAGAGAAAGGGGGAGAGAAACATCAATGTGTGGTTGCCTCTCACATGGCCCCCACTGGAAATATGGCCCGCAACCCAGGCATGTGCCCTGACTGGGGATCGAACCGGTGTCACTTTGGTTCCCAGCCTGCACTCAACCCACTGAGCTATGCCAGCCAGGTATTTTCAATATTTTCAAAGGAATGTCAACACATCGTGATCTTCATTACAAAAGAAGTTTCAGAAAGTTTTAATTGGTAAAAGCAAAACATGCTGCATTTGAAAATAGTAATACCCCAAAATTGTATGGCAAAAACAAAAAGCCCTCTACTGGGTAAAAGGGGAAACAGATCTTGCAGTTAGAGGTTGTTTTGCAAGAAAAAAAAATACAGGAAGACAGTGGAATGACATTGAGCAAAGCCTGTTACATATCAGGAAACCTTTTATGAAATTTATTGCAACAATGAACAAAAGCAGTGAAAGCATATAGTTATATTCATGAATTATTTTTAAAAGTTTGGAGACTACATGCTGGTATTTTTAGAAAAACTGTATGAAAGAGTTGAAAGCTGACACAGTACAAACTCTCAAAAAACAGCAAATACTACAGTAAACATTGAAGTGATGAGGCCATTCAATGATGCCTACCATTACCACAATTTACTCACATATATGTTTTAGCTAATGCAATAGGATAAGAAAAAAATTCATTGGTGTAAATACTAAAAAAGATACAATATTATATGATGTATGATTACATATAGAGAAATGATGGAGACCTAAATAAATTCCTTAAGAACTAGAAAATGAATTTGCCAAGAGGCATGAATTTTTCAAAATGTACATAACATGAACAGATTTCATTTGCAACAACATATGTTGAAAAGAAAGAAAATATTACTTCAAACACAACAGTCAATACACATTTATATATTTATAAACATTTGAAAGTTATGAACTATATGAAAGAAACTATAATGTCTTATTGAAGAAAATTATCAATCTCTAAATAAATGGGAATACGGAAGGTGGTTTCAGTTAGGAAAATATAACAATGTTAAAGTGTCAATCCCTCTGAAATTCTTATAAAAGTGTAATGCACCTGCAATTTGTAACCCTATTGAAAGTGGGTAAGGTAATTTAAAAATACATACGACAGAAAAAAATATCTGAGTCAAGAAAAGTAAGTAGAGGAGGATTTAGTTGGGTTAATGTTGAAAATTCAGTGAGACAGTAAAAGAATGTAGAAATATATTTTCAGTACACGGTCTAAGGGTTATTATATCTGATAGACAAAGACTCCAGCCTATTGACAAAATATGACATACAATGCCAAAGAAAATGCATCTGAACAGTCATTTAGAGAAAATGAAATTAAAATGCCCAATAAATATATGAATACATACAAACTAAACTATCAATGAGAAACCATTTATCACCCACTGGACTGGCAAACACAGTTTCACAAGTGACAATGCAGCGCGGGAGAAGATTCAGAGAAGCAGACATTCATTGCAGGTATGAGCAGAAATTGCAAACGCTGGTACTGTGTAAAAGGGAAAGTGACATCACTTTTTGAAAAATCTTTGTGACTTTGGGTTATGGAAGACAAAGAGGTAGCTATGAAACCAAAAGTTTCATCCATAAAGAAAAAACTTATAAATTAGTAAAAAATATTAAATATTTTGTGCTTCAAAGGATGCCATTAAAAATACTACCCCAGAGCAGAGAATGAGAACCTAGGCTTGGTCAAGGGCAAGGAGTTCTGCTGGGAGCAAGGAGGACAGGTGAGCTTGCGAGGGTCAGGCAGGGCTGGAGTGAGGGTCCCAACACACAGTCAGATTCCCCCTTCGGATACACGGTCTAGCTTTCCAGGCCAAAAAGCGAAAGAAGCCATGTCAAATGTCCCTGAAAAGCAGAGAGGAGTTACCCAAAGGCTCACCATTTGGAGCTGGCCATGACCATGATGATGAGGTCCAGAGAACATCGAGCAGAAAGCTGGGAAGCCACTTCCTCCCAGGAAAGCAGAGCTCAGCTCTGGCCACACCTGGGGACTGATTACCTGGCCTTTACACAGACAGAGGGCTACAGCTGGGAGATGAGGAAACTCACAGACTCAGCATTCCAAAAAATTAGTAGTAAAAAAAGCCCACAAGATCTACTAAAAATTAAATAGTTTCATAGAAGAAAATTTTAGACAACTATTAAGAACAGGAAGTAAAAAGATGATTTATGAGGGACAAATAAAGCTGTGAAGGCTAAAGTTGCATGCATGGCAGAAGAGTTTTACCCCCAAATTAAAAAAAAAAACATTTTGTAGATATTAGAGAAGCAACTTTCCCTGAAGTAAAGGTAGAATTGACTCTGCCACCTCACTAAACAAGAACTCTGGTTAAAGACAGTGTGCATGGGATTCACCAATATCTTTCAGCATTGCTGTTATTTATTTGTGATAAACAGGGTGCATCTATCTTATAAAATCAATATTATAAGTTTTTACTCTAAATTTGAAAGCTTTAACACGATAGAAGTTGCCATAAAAAAGTTAAAAGGCAAGAAAGCATATTGATAAGTTCAGAGTATGTACCAACTCTCCCTTGTCATTAAAGGGAGAACAATCACCTCAATTTATTACATTAGCCAAAAATAAACAAAAAATTCAGAAAAGAACCAATTTAAATAGACAATAGACTTGAAAACCTGTGCAACCTCCCATGCAATCAGAGAATGCACATTAACAGGCTGCATCCCTTTATCCAGCTCCTTTGTGAAGTCTGGGGGTGAAGAGATGGTGCATCAGCCAGTGGTGGGAGAATACAGTGACTGGTTCAGCCATGAGGAAGGCAATTTGGTAGGATCTATGAACAAGTGAATATTAGTACCCTTTGCCTGAACAATTCTACCTTTTATTTTCTGACATGAGACAAATACTTATTTATATGCAAAAACATACAGAAATATCTCATGGTTGTTATCAGATTTTATTGGTAACAGTGAACAACTGAAAACAACATAAATGCATTAAATGGAACATAATTTAACAATTATGGAAAAGAACTCCATGGAGCACTATGCACCTTTTAATAAGAATGAAGTAGATCCTTATGTTTATTAATGTGAAAAGCTTCTGATAATTTTAATATTAAAATTTTAGAAATGCAAAATCCAGAAGGGTGTATACAATATAATCTCAGTCAAAAAACAAGACAGAAATTGTGCCTTTAGAAAAACAAGTCATGTTTTCCTAACATGAGAACACGTTAAGAATTCCTAACATGTTTTCCTAACAAGTTATGTTTTCATTTACACAGAAACACGCTTTACATGTTTTCATGTAAATGTATAGACACATAAAAGTACATAATGCACATAATGTACAAAAGTAAATGCACACAGAAGGCCGTGCCCACAACACTCAGCAGGCCCAAGAATGGAAGCCCCTTGGGGTGGGTGGTGAACAGGACTGCTTCCCTCTGTGTCCATCCGTGTCATTTGAAATTTCATGACCAAGAAAGTATAATGTATTTCTTTTGGATTCAAAAAACCAAACAATTAGACACATCAAGTAATGTAATTTATGACTCCTTACTAAAGAGAAAAGGTCGGGCTTTCTAGCCTTTTCCTTGTCAGAGGTAGAACCCACCCAGAGCAGAAAATCACAGTAGTAAATGAGAGCAGCAGCCTGCACTGGGCTTTGGCGTCTTGGTCCTTCCTCTTCCTTTGACTTCCTCATCAAGGCCCCTGGAGGAGCCCCAGACCCCCAGCCAGAGATGGGAATGGGCCCAGTGCTGACCTGTCCCCAGGTCAGGTTAGGAGACCAAGGCACCCAAAGTCAGATGTTTAATCTGAATTTCTATTTTCTTAAGTACCCTCTTTGAAATGACCTAGGTGAAGGTGGAGGGGCCAGAGGGAAATGAGAGAGTTCAGAGGCCATGAGAAAATAACAAATCCGTTTCTCAAAGTCAGAAAGAACAGCTGAGTGCAGAGGGGCCATCAGTGGAGCAGTAGGTGTACCACCAGCGTCCTGTGGGCTGCGGCTGCTGCGCTCACACCAGCGGCTGTCCCTCTGCTGTTTAAAGATCCAATTTCCTTATCACACATTCCTGCATTGCACCACACTGCACGTGAGTGTACGTGTAAAGCAGGACTAAGGTCAAGGGTTAGTTCAGTGTCTAATGACAGACAGTGAAGCAGGAGCACAGCTAGAGGGGAAGTTAAAAGAAGGAAGGTAGAGACTGACCTGATCCCAAGGTTGCTGCTTGAACTGGCCATCGTCCTGCCCTGGGCCCTGCCAAGACTTCTGATCCCTCTGGTGTCCCCTGCCTCTTTTAAGCCAGGTTTCAGCCTGGTTTCAGCCTATCCAGCTCTGAGCAGGAAGTCTGTAACAGACTCACCCAGAAAGGGCTCCACCCAAACGGGGAAAATAGCAGTGGAAGTAACTTGCAATTGTTGTTAGCCACATTTCCCTCCTCCTGCAGCCCCACAGTGGTTCTCAGCCATCAGGACATGTGGCAGCAGGAATGGAGGACAAGGAGGGACACTCAGGACCTGGAGGGCCAAGGGCAGGGGACCTCCAGCAATGAGCAGGACCAGCCTTCAGCAGTCCTGTTTTTGGAGGAAAGATACAAAAAGAAAAAAACAAAACAAAAAACAAAGAACAGACAAACAAAGAAAAACCCATGAGCAAACCCCACTGTTCTCACGGCCCTGGTTTTCTGAGAGGGTGCAGAGGAACAGAGTTAGGTGTCCGTGTTCAGACCCAGGGCTGGAGAAGCGCCATTCTCAGGGCGATGGTTTCCATGTTTGTTCCCTGAGTCTGACTCCCCCTGGCTGGACTACCAGTTCCAGTCCAATTAAATTTAAGACACAGGGAAAGGTTGTACCCTCTCTCCACACATGTTCTTTCTTTCCCTACAAGGAGTGAATATGAATCTGGACAGATTCCGTACCCTGATGAGGACGTTCCTTTCCCAGGGTACAGGGTCTCACTGAGTCCTGGATGCTGCACACATGGGGGCGGGGCCTCTCTCTCCAGCCCTGTCACCCTCCGTTTGGGGTAGAAAATTAGTAAGCTGAGCCTCTGCTGGGCACAGCTGTCCTCTGCTCCTGGCCTCCATGGTTGGGAGACCCAGGCACGGTCTCATATAGACAATACCAGCCTGTTCCAGGGGCCCCCACCTCTCTCCTCTGTCCCTCAGCAGCAGGCCGACTAGGGCCCCGCTGTGCTGGGTATGGGCAGACATGTGCCTGTTTTCCCTGAGTCTGCTGAGAGTCACCAAGATCACCACATGCATGAGCGGTGGATAGCAGTTGGTGGGTGGGAGGTCCACCAGGGCCAGTCTCCTGGGTAGACACTCCCACACTGGGGCGGCCCTGGCCAAAGGGAAGGAGACAATCCTGTGAGACCAGAGAAAGCTGAGCAGGCACCCCGTTCTGCCAACAGCAGTGGTTTCTGAGGGGTCAGGAGGCCTCTGTGCAGAAGACAAAACTTTTTGATGCAGGAAACATCCTCAGACCCACGTGGGTGAGGACCTGGACAAGACCACCTTCAGAAGCAGGTTGACCCTAACAGTCCTGCTGGCCTGATGTGAAGGACAGAAGGGAGTGCCTGGGACATTTTCCATGCAGCAAGGACCAATGACAGTGGGGACTGTTCCTGTTCTCTAGGAAGTTGCCCCAGCTACGGTGCCCGGAACCTAGAAAGCAGGAGAGGCAGCAACTGAGGAGGCACATGGAGCAGAGGACTCAGAAAGGGAACAGGCTTTCTTGGCTTCACCAGGAGCAGCTTCCAATCAGACATCAGTAGTGGGCTGAGTCTCCAGCCTGGGAGACCCTGTGGGGACAGAGGTTTGTCCCTGAGATGAGGCAGAGTCCGGACCTGAGAAGTCACCAGCAGGAAGAAGTGGCAGCAGCAGCAACAGCAGCCACTGGGCTGAGGATGGAGACCTGAGGCATCTCAGTGGAGGTAGGAATGGAGAGAGTGGCACCTGCACCTTCATGGGAACTCTCAGGCCCCACACCAATGTCCCCTTCTGGAAGGTGGCCCATTAACCAGCAGGACTCCTGGTCCCCATGAGCACCCTTCTTTCTGGGGAGACTCTCAGGCTGGGAGTTCTGTGAAAGGTGAGTCTGTTCCCTGGTGGGTCTCCCTGGGTTCATCTGGCTGGAGAGGGTTAGACTTGGTGCTCCTTCAAGCTCAAGGTCACAGGGAGAGCAGTCTGTGGGGTGTGGACTGTCTGTGCATTTGTGTGTTCATGGGCTTGTGCAGTTGATTGTAGCAGCTTGAGGCCTTTTGGATAAGTCCAACCCTAGGGTTCAGATTTAGGGGTTACTTTTGGCACACACCTAATCCAGTTACCTGATCCACCTTTTCCCAGGAAGACATTTGTGTGTTGATCTTCAGCTCTCTCATCTTTGTGCCTTCAGTTTGTTGGGAACTTAACGTTTGGTGACTTGGGGTGAATTTATAAACAAAATCGGAGGTATCTCTGTGATATTTTTTTCTGAGATTACCCTCTTCCCCCACAGAAACTCTGGCTGCCTGACTTTGCTGACCATGAGGAAAGTGGACTTTCCTATCAAAGGACTGACCACCACACAAACCTGTGGCTGCTCTCAGAGCCTGGTGACAGTAAACTGGAAACGTCAAGTGTTGGCTGCATCTGAGATTTGATTTCTCTGAAAAATTGTCCTGTTTTTGTTCATTCTTCAAAGTCTTAAGCATTGTTTCCTGATGATTTTTAAGAAAGATTTAATTTATTTTTGGAGAGAGGGGAAGAGAGGGAGAAAGAGGGAGAGAAACATCACTGTGTGATTGCCTCTCACGTGCCTCTGACTGGGGAACTGGCCTGAAACCCTGGCATGTTCCCTGACTGGGAATTGAACAGATGACCCTTTGGTTCACAGGCCAGCACTCAGTCCACTGGGCCACATGAGCCAGGGTTGTCTCTGATTATTGCCTAGAGTTTCTAGCTGTTTTCTTCAATTGGCTGGCTCAGTAGGAAGTCATTCCTACAGATCAGAAGCAGAAGTCTCATCCCTACTCATAAGCAGCAGACCACCCTGCACACTCCCAGGTCCAGCCCTCTTCTGACTCCTGGAGAAGCCCACTGGGTCCAGTGCCTCTGAGCCCCTGCCCACCGAGGAAGGGAGTGGAGCATCAGAGGCACATATTTGTTAGGAGACCCACAAGCCAGGGTAGATACACTTTGTACTTCTGTACATGGGAGCAGAAACACACGCCTATTAGAGTGGGCTCCTTTATAAATAAAATAACAGAGCAAACAATATGGCTGGAGAAAAAACAGGGTTTATTCTAACATTTCAGTTGGAGGTAATACTTTACAAGCCACCTCGAATGATGAGAAATATAAGTTGTTGCCAAGAAGACTAAGAATATTTGCTTTTTGTTAAAGGATAAGATTAAATGATGGCCTCAAGTCAGTTTTTTATTAAATGGTTTATTTATGCAGTCCCTGAACTCTGATGTGGGCTCGTGTGAAGGCTTGCTGTGAGATCTCCCTATCCACTTTACACAGAGACAATTAGAGAATATTGAGTCTCCACAACATAACAGCACTTCTCTCCAGCAAAGCAGAGCAGTGTCTGAGGTGATGCCGAGAGGGGTTTCTCTTGGAGGTTTGGTGTTGGGTGGTTACCAAGAGCCCTAGAACCTTGGGAGCTCCAGGTCTTTCTGCATCCCCACCCTCCCCAAGTAGGACCACAGCTGAGCTCCCCAGAAAACAGCCCACATCTGAGAGTCGGTAAACAGGACAGACAAGATGACAACTTAGTGGCCTTCCTTGTTCTTGGCTGTCCAGTGGCATGGGGTAGACACTCTCCCTTCTAGCATGATGACAAATTCAGCCCTTTTCTCTACAGCACAGGGCAACCGGGCCACAGACAAGCTGTTCCATTGAAAAAGTGCCAGGGTCTGTGGTCCCTATGACTGGCCTGGGACTGTCCTATTTCTCCTGTTAGACAGCATGGCCCACTCTGCAGTATTCTTGGTGGTGTCCTCAGTCAGCCATGGTCCCCATGGCCATCTGTCCACCTGCCCTCTCTTCCAGAGACACAGATTTCACTGGGTGGACAACACATACCCTCTGTGTGCAGGAATGGAGGGGCTGTTAATTCAGATGCTTTCCTGTCAGCCAGCCTGCCAGCCAGGCTCTCTTTTGGGGAATTAGACCCTTGAAAGCAATTTGTTGAGCAGTTAAAAAAATGGTTGGAAACACTTGTTTAGTGATATATTGGTCTGCAAGTAATTTCTCCCATTTTATAGATTGCCTTTTCATTTTGTTGATTATTTTTTGTTGTTGTTGTGTGGAAGCTTTTTAGTTTGAGGTCATCCCAATTGATTATTTTTGCTTCTGGTGTTTGTGCTTTTGGTGCCACGTATGTAAAATCATTGTTAAGACCAAAGTCAAAAAACATTTCCTTTGTTTTCTTCCCACAGTTTTATGGTTTCAGGCCTTACATTTATGTCTTTAATCCATTTTGTGTTAATTTTTCTTAGAAGTATAACAGAAGGCCCAGTTTCATTCTTTTGTCTATGAATATCTACTTTTCCCAACACCATTTACTGAAGGAGCTATCCTTTCCCCATTGAGTATTATGGCTCTACTGTCAAGTATTAGTTAAGTGCCTTTATATGGATCTATTTTTGGTCTTTTGATTCTTTTGTATTTGTCTATGTATTGTTTTTACACCTGTACCATAATGTTTTGATGACTAGAGCTTTGTGTTGTAGTTTGAATCATAAAATGTGATGCCTCTAACTTTGTTTTCCATTTTTAGGATTTCTTTGACTATTCAGGATCTTTTGTGGTTCCACAGGAATTTTAGGATTTACTTTTTAATTTCTGAAAAAATATCCATTAGAATCATGATAAGGATTGCATTTCAATGTATTTGTTTATTTTCCAGGTTTCTTCTTGTTACTGATTTCTAGTTTCATAACATTGTAATTGGAAAAGACACAGTTTTTAATTTCTAGAGTATGTTGAGACTTATTACCTAACTTATGGTTTATCCTAGGAAATCTCACTTCCAACCAAGATGGAGATATAGGTTGATACACTGTGCCTCCTCTCACAACCAAAAGAAGGACAACAACAAATTTAAAAACAAAAAACAACAGGAACTGACAGAAAATAGAACTGTATGGAAGTCTGACAACCAAAGAGTTAAAGAAGAAGCATTCACCCAGACTGATAGGAGGGCCAGAGATGGGCAGTCAGGGAAGAGAGAACTCACAGAAAGGCAATGACTGGCTGACCGGGTGAGGTGGTGGCTGGCAGACCAGGTGGTCCCACATTTGTGTGTGGATAAACTGGGAGGAACAGATCTCACAACCAAGAGTTCCAGTGTGGAGAACTAAAGCCTCAAACCT